GAAGGAAGGAAGGAAGGAAGGAAGGAAGGAAGGAAGGAAGGAAGGAAGGAAGGAAGGAAGGAAGGAAGAAAACAGATTTCATCCATCAGAACACTTCATTTTCCTGTCCTTAAGTTAGCTGAGCTTGGAAAACCAGGACATCAAGATGGGCTGTAGGAATGAGCCACAGTCTCAGAAAGTAAGCAGGACTGACTGCTGGCCACTTTCACCATTTCCAAGCTCCCTTATTCATTTAACTCCCTACGACCTTCACTTGTCCCAAGGAAGATGTTTATCAAAGCCTAAACTAGAGGCCCAAGTTCTCCTATTGTAGGAATGCTGCTAAGGGCAGCTGGGGAAGAACTTAGTCTAGGGGAGGCTGGGATGGGCAGGCATTCCTGGGAAGGAAGGCCAAGGCGTTAGGGAAGATCCCAGGAAAGTTAGAAGTCCATGTTTCAGTAATTGTCTTGTTGTTTATTTTATCCAAGTACCCCAGTGAATAGGGGAAAAATAAACACGGTGAAAAAAAAATTCAAACAGTTGAGTCTTCTTTAGTGCTAGCCCTTGTGGTTGAATAAAAAGGATGGTCCGCTTTCTATTGAGCTGAGAAATCTTTGAAGTGGGAGTTATTATCTGAGACATTCCTGCTTGTCGTCCTAACAACGCTGATGAAACGTAAAACGGGCTTTGTTGGCGATTTGTTCTCCTCTCTGTCAAACTCCCCCTGCCCGCTAGCTTTAAACCGTTTCTAAAGAGATAAAATCAAACTTTTTTTTTTTAAGATAACTTTAGGGCTCTCAAGTCTATACAGCAAAGAGCAAGCCATATAAGTACAAGTCCACAGGCTTGCCCGTCTGTGCAGACCCTTGCACACACTTTGGAACACACTTAAGAAAATGGCGGTGTGTGTGTGTGTGTGTGTGTGTGTGTGTGTGTGTGTGTGTGGTACATGGCCAAGTGGAACACTTTTAGAGAATGGGGAAATTTTTTTCCCCTCTTTTTCTTAAATACATGGAATTTAGATGCTGGCATCAGTTGATTACCTGAGAGGGCGGAGAACACTTTTTTTTTTTTTAGAAGTTCCCAGTAACCCACAGAAATCACACACCTCAATACACTCTTCTCAATCCTCAAAGTTAAAAGGCAGTTCTCAGATAAAAATAGACTCATTCTATTTCCTCAACCCACCATAGAGTCAACAGAGCCCCTTCTAGAAAAAAATAAAATAAAAGTAGGCGAAAGAGAGCTTGACCTGCTCTAGTGGAATGGTTGTAATTCGATGTTTACATTGGGATATCTGAAAAATAAGTAAGAAAGCCACGAAGCCCCGCTAATAGGCATGCAAACTAAAAGTCTCCCGTGAGCCTACAAATGAATCTTCTCACTCTGTGCATAGCCAGATCTTGGAGGTTTTCCTCGGTCCTGATTCTCTGAAACCTTATGGTGTTCTTTTAAAGGTGGCTTGAAACACACACATACTAAAATCCAAACCATTTAGGATATTTAGGAGGTCCTCCTTCGCTCCCCTGTGTGTGATGACTAAATGATTTGTAAAGAAGTTTCCTAAAGCTGTAACCCATGCTGTTATTATAGTTGCTGCAAAATGTTGTCTTTTCTATTGATTTTTATTTGTTTACTGGAGGTCCCCATATGTTTGTTTATATCGCTAATTTATGGGAAAATGTAATGATCGCAATGAATGTGAATTATACAGACAGGAAAACGTTTTGTAACCGTAACTCACAAAGAATGCCCTACTGAGCCCTCTGAATATTTCTCATCCTTCCCTTCCAGATTGTGATTTATATCTTGCCTTCAGCAGGAGTTGAATTATAAAGTAACTTTTTTTTTCTTGTTCTGTTGTTTGAAAACGACTATGCTGCTATGGAAAGAAAATATTCCAAGTAGCTGATGAATCTTGCTGTAAATATGTACAACTTGAATTCTGTGACTCTTTCCCCCAAGATATAGCCTAGATGTGTAGATGATGTTTCATTCGTTCTTTCCATTGTTCTAAAATAAACGACATATGCATCTTCCCATCCTATTTCGATTCTGGGTTTCGAATGATTGCTCTATCCTCGGGTATAAATTTGTCCTCCAACTTTCAATCTCCATGAAGGAGGAAAAGGGGTTTTGGATTGTTTGTCTTCCACTATAGGGGCTTTTTTTTTCCTGTTTGGAAAAGGAAATCAGAAGGACAAACAAACTCTGGCCAATTTAGACTTCGGTGCCTGTTCTATTTACATCCGCTTCCAATCAACAAAACTTTAAAAATGGACAGGATATTTGGAGGCTGCAGTGGAGATGGGGTTGTCGGGTGTATGACAAAGGTGTCGGGAAGTATGACAAAGTTGAAAGCGCTTGCAGTCAAAGCCTTTTCCTTTTTTGAACCTATTTTCTTCTCTGCCGCTAAATCTCTGGGTGACCAATGTCACCACCCTGGCCTCTCGGAATCATTTCTAGGAGCAGGTATTTAGAACAAAAAAACAAACAAACAAACAAAAAAGGCAAATCATTACAGATGTTGATTGAGCGCCTTTTTGCTCTCCTCCTCCCCGACGTGGAACATCAGTCCTGTCCACCATGGTCGGGTGTCTGGGACTTCATTTAGTGGACTCAGCTCAGAGGTGTTTGTATCTCCTTCCGAAGCTGTGATCCTTCTCAATGAAGTTCGAACTGCTTCCTATAAGCCCAGGATTGGGTGGGGGTTGTTTTGCTTGTTTGTTTACTTGTTTGTTTTGAGAGTCCTGGGGGAAGCCATTTGTGATCCCTCTTCCAGTATCTGAATCTGCACTTTCAACTCGGTTTAGCAGGTGAAGTGTGCTTAAAGTTTTCTGGACTAGGCCCTTTTAGGCTTATTTCGTGGCTCCCTCTCTCTTCCGTCTGGACTCACAGTAGCCAATGCCTCTCCTGGGGCAACTCTCATTCGGAGGCAAAGATACATACATACATACATACATACATACATACATACATACATACATACATATATACATACATACATACATATATATATATTTCTTTTCTCTCACTCCCCCCCCCAACCCCCGACCCCTTAAAAACCCTGCCTGCGCTTTAAGTCTAGCGCGCATGCGCTACGGCTTTGCGCTCTGTGCTTCTGTCTTTCCTAACTTAGAAGTTGCCTCATGCAGGCAGGGGATGTCAAAGCGGAGTTTCTAGGGTGGAAATGGAAATACTGGGGCATAAAGAAAGGAGGGGAACCAGCAAAAAAAAAAAAGAGAAGGAAGGAAGGAAGAAAGAAAAGAATGTTTCCTTGTGGGGAGGGAGGGAGGAAGAACCAAAGTCCTGAGGAAGGAGGAGGATGACGAGGTAGGAAAGGTGAAGGTGAGAGAGAGAGAGACAGAGAGAGAGAGAGAGAGAGAGACAGAGAGAGAGAAGAGACAGAGACAGAGAGACAGAGAGAAGAAAAAAGAGGACTCCCAGAATGTGCTAATTAGAGCACACAGTTCTATGGGTCCCCATGATTGAGCGAAGACGCGTAGTTATTACATTTGACTGTATTCAGTGAGAGATGGAATGTCCCCTCCGACAGCATGGGGAGAGACGTGTGGGCATTATTCGTGGTCCCTTTTATAGACGCTGCCTTTTCTTTCTAGGACTGACGAACCATTTTGGAAGGATCCATCCCCTGTTGCTTCCTATCATCGATCCCCATGCAAACCCAGCCATTGTGCAAGTGCATTAATTAGAGACCATTCATTTCACAAAAGCACAATTGGTACGTAAAGGAAGTGAAGATTAGAAAATGGGAATGGGGAAAACCCGAGCCTAGGGATTTCCCGCGGAGTCCTGGCTCCTGGGAGAGAGAAAGTCCCGTTTTCCTCTCGTCCACCCCTTGGCCTCTCTTCCGAGTCTGCGGGTTCTGCATTCATCCTCAGGGCCCAGAAACGCAAACCATTCCTTAATCTTTACTCCTCAAGAACAACTAGCTTTCAATGAATAGTGAAGACAGATTCGTTTTCTTGGGTGCACCCAAGGGCTGATTTTCTGTTGAGGGCTCCCTCACCTTCCACCTTGAGGTCTCAAGTTCAAGCTTTCTTAGGGATCAAAGGTGGGCAATACCTCTAGCAGAGTCCATCGGGCTTAAGTTGCTGCTCCTTTAAAAAGCAAGAGCAAAAAAATCTCTGTGTTGGGTGAGGTGGGGACAGGGGATAGAATATATTTGGTAAGAGAAGGGAAAGGGTTCTTAAGGTTAACTTTTCCGAATCAGGAGAAGGAAGTGGTCCCAATCCACTGTTTGTATCCTCCCTTGGAAAAATATTGATTTCGGTGCCCTACCCACTATTGAGAAACCTGGTATTTCTTTAAATGGTCAGATCCCTGCAATCCTCAAAGAGCATTCACTCTCACATATTCATATAAGATAGATCTGTCTCCAGGTTTCAAGAAAGAAATTTGGGGAAAGGTGGGTTCCATAGGAGTACTTGCTTGTCGCCATTCATATGTATTTGTACATGTGTTTTTCTTTTTTTCTCCAATCACAGTCAAAGAGCCGTGCGTTTGAGTCAATCTCACCAAGCCATGCAGCGGGTCACTGCAGAAAATATGTAATTTATTTTTAAAAGGCCCAAGAAAAATTAGACCGAATCGAGTTTATTTCTATGTGGAATGAAGCTGGAGAGATCAGATCGCCTTAATGTCACCCATATGACTTGTTAAGACGCTGTAGCTTCAGTAAACCTCTGTAGCTCGTCTAGACCATATGTTGATTTATTTATATCATAAGTCTTTTAGGTTATTGCATGCTGGAGAATCTGCATTCCAAGAGCATAACGCAGAGGGCATTAAAACGGGGAGCCAGAAAGGCAAGGCTTCCGAGAATGCATTTGGGCGAAATTCACAAGAAAAGTACATTCTTCACAGAATGATAATAGCGTCCATTAAGCAATTACGATTTTATCCTCCAAAGTCCCCGTTTCTTGAGCTGAATAAAACATTGGTAGGAGAAGAATCAAGAATTAGAAAAGCAACATGTTCTACCTGTTATCAGCTTTCTAATCTGGGTATGGTGGAAGTGGATGATTCTATAACACCATCACCACCACCACCCCCAACAAATGAAGCACCGTGATATTTTTGTGGTCATTAACAGCTAAATTGATACACCACTGCAGGACCTGCTTGGATTCTTTCGGGAGCGACTATTTTAAAATGAAACTAACAATCCAGTGTAAACAATTAGCAGGAGATCTTTGTTTTAGCTTCTGTAATCCTCCATAGTTTTGTTAAACATACACATCCGCTGTGTAGGAGGGAGAGGAAAAATATAGGATTTAGGTTAATCTTATGCAAATGTTACCGGCGAGACAAACTTTGACAAGTTAACTCACATTGTTTACTCGTTATAGTTTCAGTGTTTACTTTCTATTAACTAAAATTTAACTGAGGTACATTGATCA